GTCTCACTTTATTGCCCTCCAGACTGCTGTGGCATCAGAGTTCACAGCAACCTCCAACTCCTGGGCTTAGGCAATTCTTTTGCCTCAGCCTTCTGAGTAGCTGGGACTACAGGTGCCTGCCACAACACCGGCTATTGCAGTTTGGCCGGGGCCAACCCACCACCCTCAGTATACAGGATCGGCACCCTACCCACTGAGCCACGGGTGCCACCCAATGATTTTTATTTTTGTAAATAACTGAAAGGTCCAGTTCAATCAACCCTACAGAATCTAAAACATGGCTTCTTGTCACTCAAATCTGCATAAGAGAATTGTACTTGATGAATGAGACAAATACATGCTTAGAAATGAAAACGCTCTACGTAGTCAAGGCTGAGTAGCCCTTTACTGTGATTTGGGAAGAGCCCAGGCAATTGCCTATAAAATAGAGAACATTTTTGTCAGACTCTTTCTTACCTTTAACAAGAAATATGTAAATCTAGACACAGTACTCATTAACCAGAATCCTTCCATCACAAAATTTCAATTTACTTATGTAAAGAAGCTCTCATTTGTGAATGAGATTCCTAGAAATTCCCTATCAAAGACCTTCAATGATAATATAAAGTCGTTAGTGTTTAATAACATACATGAGTAATTAATTTTGTATTTCTCCTGGAGAACTTGGGTTTTGCTCCCTATAAAAGTATCATTAGCTTCCTTTCTAATCTTATTGATTCTTTAAATTTCTCATCACAATAGTATACATTTCAAGTAAGTTGATGGTCCTCATGGCTCAGTTGGCAGGGTGCCGGACACATACACCTAGGATGGCGGGTTCAAACCCAGCCCGGGCCTGCTGAGCAACAATGACAACTATAACCAAAAAACAGCCAGGTGTTGTGGCCAGCACCTGTAGTCCTGGCTACCTTAGGAGGCTGAGACAAGAGAATCGCTTAAACCCAAGAGTCTGAGTTTGCTGTGAGCTGTGACGTCACAGCACTCTATCCAGGGTGATAGCTTGAGACTCTGTCTCAATAAATAAATAAATAAATTTAAATAAATTTATTGAAAATAAATAGATTTTTTTTAAGTTATGATAAAAAGTTCAAAAACAAGATCCTTTTGAGTCCCAATGAACAAATCCTCCATAAACCTTACGACAAGCATTTGGAACCACGTAGTAGATTTCAACAAGTGCCATTCTAGAAAGATGAGATAGCACAGCTACATAGAAGATGGTGGATTCACGGTTTTGCTATGGGAACTAGGGACTAGACTCCCAAATACTATTTTTATATCCACAGTGAAAAAAAAAAAAAATCACTCAAAGCCTGCCAATTTAAATATAAAACGGCTGCAGTCACATTATAATTCACAAGATGAATAACTGTGCATATTTGTAATTTGAAAAATTTTTAATTTCCAATTTTGTTAAATTCAAAACTATAACTTAAAGCAAATAGGGCACAATATTAACAACTGGTAATCGAAGAAAGGGTTCTATAGTGATCACTGTACTATTGTTTTAACTGTCCTATAGATTTGCAAACTTTCAAAATAAAAAGTGGACATACACCTAAGGTGTATGTCACTACCACTAGTTTTAGAGAAAAAAGTTTCCTTATCTTATTAAAAAATCTGTCTGCTAAAAGAAGCATGGGAGAAATATTTTCACATGTTAAAGGGAAATACTGGTTTATAAGCCAAGCGAGAATGCGTTGCATGTACCACGCTCATCGACATCATCGCCTGAGGTTTGTGTGTGTGTGTGTGAATCTTTTATTTTTATTGATTTGTTTATTTTTTGCTGTTTTTGGTCACGGCTGGGTTTGAACCTACCACCTCCACCATATGGGGCTGGCGCCCTACTCCTTTGAGCCACAGGCACCATCATCTCTTGAGTTTTCAAAGCCAACATGTACCACTCGGTCCAACACTGACTGCCGGGCTCCTTGTGCAAAAACACAGCAATCCACTGACTCTCACATTCACAAATGATAGTAAAGGTTTAAAAACACACCTTTCAATAAAATGAAAATCTTTCTTTTTTTTGAGACAGAGTCTCAAGCACTCTACCCTGGGTACAGTGCCGTAGCGTCACAGCACATAGCGAACTCAAACTCTTGGGCTTAAGTGATTCTCTTGCCTCAGCCTCCCAAGTAGCTGGGAAAACCGACACCCACCAAAACACCTGGCTATTTTTTTGTTGTAGTTGTCATTGTTGTTTGGCAGGCCCGGGCTGTGTTCAAACTTGCCAGCTTTGGTGTATGTGGCCAGTGCCCTACCCACTGAGCTATGGGCTCCGCCATGAGAATCTTTTCTATTCAATTGTCTAGCCTAAAAAAAAAAAAAGAAAAGAAAAAGAAAAATTTTCCTAACTCTGAGGAATAAAAAAATGCTTCTGTAGCAGAATGCCTTAAAACTGGCTGATAGGGTGGCACCTGTGGCTCAGTGAGTGGGGCACCGGCCCCATATACCAAGGGTGATGGGTTCAAACCCAGCCCCGGCCAAACTACAAGAAAATAGGCAGGTGTCGTGGCGGGTGCCTGTAGTCCCTGCTACTTAGGAGGCTAAGGCAAGAGAATCACTTGCCTGAGCCCAAGAGCTGGAGGTTGCTGTGAGCTCTGATGCCATAACACTCTACCGAGGTTGACAAAGTAAGACTCTGTCTCTGAAAAAAAAAAAAACTGGCTGATACTGTCTACTTCTTGTGTACCATTTAAGTTGCTATATTTTATTATTTATTTATTTATTTTTTAAGACAAAGAGTCTCACTTTGTCATCCCAGGTAGAGTGGTGCAGCATCATAGCTCACAGCAACCTCAAACTCTTGGGTTCAAGCAATTCTCTCACCTCAGCCTCCCGAGTAGCTGGGACTACAGGTGCCCACCACAACACCCGGAGGCAAGGTCCTGCTCTGGCTCTGGCTCAGGCTGATCTTGAACCTGTGAGCTCAGGCAATCCACCCTCCTCGGCCTCCCAGAGAGCTAGGATTATAGGCGTGAGCCACTGTGCCCAGCCTAAGTAGTTATGTTTTAAAAATAGAGCACACACTTTGGGTTCTTGTTTAAAATCTAACACTAAATGACAATGTTTCACAGTTCCTGGTAGATCTTTGGCTGAACAGTATCAGTTTAGCAAAATAACAAGAAATTTTTTTTTCAAATTTTCATTTACTTTGGTCATATGAGACAGTGCTATAGCGACCCTAAATCATCTATCTTTCGGTGAAAATAGAAAGTAAAACCATATGCTGTGAAAAATACCAATACTGAAACAATCTGACACACACCTAAAGCTCCCTCCTCTGGCCTGCCAAAATTCCATGTGGGGCAACAGCACGCTTCTTTCCTCCTCACAGAAACTTTTGAAAAAAGAGGAAACTTGCAACCAATGGGCAGATAGCACAGAAGACCCAAGGACAGAGACCAGGTCCTTCCAAACAAAAGCACAGGTGACATCAGGATGCAACATCTGGATATAAATAGATCCTGTGAGCAACAGCCCTCCTGTCTGGGGTCAGTGAAACTTAGTTCAGATTCATCATAGATCTCAGAAATTATGAAAATAGATTCCCTTTCCTTACTGATTGGAGAGCTGAGACAGTAATACAGGGTTCTGTGAAAGTAAATTATTACACAGCTTAACAGCAGGGTCTGGGGAAACCGGAGGTAAGAATACAAAGACGCATCTTTGAAAACACTGAGTGTTACTCTTTGTAGAAATTAGAGTTTTAAAAGATATCTTTGTGAGCAATTTAATAGTTTATAAAAAAGATAATTTTAATAACCTAAGATGATTCACAGAAATTGTCATTTTTTGTTTTGAAAACAAGCAAAAATAACACAAAAATTTTAATGTTATATCAAACCCAATTTAAGCTCCCTGAGATGACATAGAGACACAGTACACAGCACAATGTGACAGCAGAAAATGAATTATTTATAAGGATCACTTTGAGTCAAACCCAATCTCATTTTTTTTTTTTGAAATAGAGTTTCCCTCTGTTGTCCCAGGCTAGAGTGCTGTGGCATCATCCTAGCTCATCCTAGCAACCTCAAACTCCTGAGCTCAATCCTCATGCCTTAGCCTCCCAAGTAGCTGGAACTACAGGTGCCCAACACAATGCCTGGCTGATTTTTCTATCTTTTAATAGCAACAGATCTCATTCTTGGTTGAGCTGGTCTTAAACTCCTGAGCTTAAGGGATCCTCTCACCTCGGCCTCCCAGAGTGCTAGCTAGGATTACAGGCACTTTGTGAGCCACTACACTGACCCAATTTCTATTTCAATAAATATAACATGAGATAAATTTTATCCTTATAATTGTTTGTTGCTATAAATTTATTCATCCAGCAAAATGGTCATATTTAAAATTCTCAAAATAGGCTCAGTTCCTGTAGCTCAGCGGCTAGGGTGCCAGCCACATACACCAGAGCTGGCGGGTTCGAATCCAGTCCAGGCCTGCCAAACAATGACAACTACAACCAAAAAATAGCCAGGCGTTGTGGCGGACACCTGTAGTCCCAGCTACTTGGGAGGCTGAGGCAAGAGAACCGCTTAAGCCCAAGACTTTGAGGTTGCTGTGAACTGTGATGCCATGGCCCTCTACCTAGGGCAGCAAAGTACGACTCCATCTCAAAAAATAAAATAAAATAAAATAAAATAAAATTCTCAAAATAGTTTTGGCACAGCTCAAATTTTCTCATTTTTGTTAAGTCCCTGAAGTCTCTTAATGGGTTGAGTTTTTGCACTGGCCTCTTCCCCAGCACCCCTTCTCCAGAATGCCTCGCTGCTCACCCTGGTCTCATAGCTACTTTATCTCTCCCTGAGGTTAACTCTAGGGCAGCATTTACTGCTATCAGTCCTCTAACCAACTGTGCTCTGCAGAAACCTTGCAGCTTCTCAAACGCGAAGACTTAGAGTGCTTGCCCCAAAGAGGACCTCGGACAATTTTTCTGATGCGTGCTGACAGGGAAGAAGAACCAAATGCCTCCGTCTTATTAATCCTAAAATTGCCTACAGCGGCCGATGGTGTAATGTTTCCAAAGCTTTATGCCTCAGGTGCTCATCCAGACACTGGATGGCAAAGTGGTCGACGTCCATGTCAAACTTATTGGCAAACAAGTGGTGCGTGTGCAGCATCCAGTTCAGGTCTCCAGCGCCGAACACGCACACCGAGCGCACGTGGGTCCCCGTGCAGGGTGGGTAGGGAGCGCCCTTAGAAGTATCCCCCTCATAGTACTGCCACTTGACAAACCTCGCCACCGAGAGCATGTCGGACAAGTCGTACTTATGGCTCAAGGAGCGTGAGCCAGGAACTTCAGGGATCCTTTGGATAGTGGCCCAGAGATACTCATCCGGGCTGTACGTGTCCTGCGCCCACTCCATAAACTTTTGGATTTTTTCATTTTCTAGCACGTACGTCACATATTCCCTACTGACCACAAAATAGGCACTGCCCGAGAAAAGAGGCGTTTCAAGCGGAGGATGCGTTTTCACGGTCCCCGTGTTGGTCAGCTTTCCGTCAATGACCGCATACCGCTTCTTCCACCTCTCTTCTTTATGGAGTGGCATCTTCTCCGTTTCAAGGTTGTTCTCACCCATGAACGACTTGAGCTTCCTGACGATTTCTAGGTTGGTTTTGATGGGAAAATCCATACCGCAAAGATTTATCAAGTACTTCCAGTCTGCACGCATTCTGTGAAGGTCCTTCATGCAGTTGAGGTCAGCCTGAACCCGGCTCCATGATGCATAAACCACACTCTCCAATTGACTGGCCACAAAGACATTATTGAAACAGGATGCAATGCCCATCACCGCAGCTAGGAAGGGCTGCTCTGATTTTCTGTCCACATGGATGCAATAGAAATTCTGAGGCATATAGATGGCCCTCAGGAGCCTGTCGAGCATTTCGATTTTGTGATGAACCACGATAGAATAGGCTATTGGAAACCCCGCCTCTTCTTTGCTAAGGGGTTCCGTAATGTATTTGCGGCTCTTGATGAAAGAAGCGCAGTCCCTGGTCATGTTTAGATAGTCATGAGGTGTCCACCGAGTGCGCGTTCTGAACTTTACTGTCAGTGTCTCAAGCTTTGCCTTTTGGATTTCGTCTATATCACCCTGGACAACTTTGGTGCAATTGACATTACCAGGATTCTCTCCAACGAGCTCCAAGGGTCTGCTGTTTATAAATTCGGGCTTTTGATGAATCCTTACAACAGAGAAGGTGACTAGGGAAAAAACAAGGAACACAAAGCAGTAATTGATGGGATAAGAAAAAAGTCTTCTGCACAGCAGCTTCTTCAGCATCTCAAACAACAATCGGGGATCGCCCTTCGTTAAAAGAAGTCTTCTAGGCTTCAAGGACCAACTATTTTCCCTCTGCACACCCTTGACAGCTGTCAGTTTGCATTCATCAGATGTGCAACTGCATCTTGGAATGAAGAACAGCACTAAAAGAAAAACAGAAACGATTTTTATATATATGTCCACATTACAGATATGTAGATTTACAGGGGTGTGTGTGTATATATATATATATATATAAACAGTCTTCGCAGGGTCAAAAGTTATCCTCTTTGTTATGAGACTAGTTGTTTAAAACAAAGACAAAGTGGGTCAGTCAAAGGAAACGGGGTAGGATTACAGGAAACCCACAGTCTCTAGTTAAAGATGCCACAGATTAGAAAAAGAAAATAAAACAAAAAAACAGGCCAGACACAATGGCTCATGCCTAAAATCCTTGCACTCTGAGAAGCCAAGGCGGGTAGATTGCTTGAGCTCAGAAGTTCAAGACCAGCCTGAGCAAAAAGTAGAAACTGTCTCTACCAAAAATAGGAAAAACTAGCTGGGCATTGTGGTAGGCACCTGTAGTCCCAGCAATTCAGGGGCCTGAGGCTGGAGGATTGCTTGAGCCTAAGAGATTGAGGTTGCTGTGAGCTATGACAGCACTCTGCCCAGGGCAACAGAGTGAGAGAGACTCTGTCTCAAACAAAAACAAAACCAACAAAGAAAATCCCCAAAGCCTAGTCTAGTACAAGGAAGTACCCAAACATCCTACAGTAAACGTTTTACCTCTCAGGTAAGTTGAAGTGTACAAACATGGTTGGAGACTTAGGCTATAATTATGGAAGTAACTGGTTCTGTAGTTGGTGAGTTTCTGATGCTGTGTCACTTCTAAGAATTAACAAGGTTTTTCTTGAAATTGTTACTAATTTAAGTGTTTCCTGACATCTCTTAGAGAGTCCATTGGCTGGTGTGAGCAGCCCTAAAGATTTGAAGAGATTAGATCCATTCTGTGTTTTGCTGATTTAGGATTTGGGGCACACTTAGGGAGAAATTGAGAAATACTTGTCACTTCTAAGAATCTTTCAAGGAAGGGCAAGTCAACTGAATTTTCAAACTGGATAGAAAAGGCTCAGCTGAAGCCAGACCCAATGTGGGACTGTGCTGGGTAGACCCCACATTGAGTTCAGTTTTAAGCCAGGCCCTCCAGGAAGACAACATATTCACAATCCAAACTAGACATATAGCCTTCAATTTTCTGTATTAGTTATAACAGATTATAATAATTATAACTTGCAGGGGCCAGGTGCAGTGGCTCACACTTGTAATCCCAGCACTCTGAGAGGCTGAGGCAGGTGGATTGCCTAAGCTCACAAGTAGAGACCCCCGCCAGAGCGAGACCCTGCCTCTAAAAATAGCCAGGTGTTATGGCAGGCACCTGTACTCCCAGCTACTTGGAAGGCTGAGGCAAGAGAATCGCTTGAGCCCAAGAGTTAGAGGTTGATGTAAGCTATGACACTATGACACTCTACCAAGTGTGACAAAGTGAGACTCCGTCTCAAAAAATTATACCTTGCAGGGTGGTGCCTGTGGCTCAAAAGGGTAGGGTGCCAGCCCCATAAGCCAAAAGTGGAGGATTCAAACCCAGCCCCGGCCAAAAAAAAAAAAACAACAACAAAACATTATACCTGCAGAAAACAACGCTGTATGTAAATTGTGATTTACAGATCTTTTATTGATATTCAAATTTCAGAAACCTAACCTAATTTTAATATAAAATGTTTACAAACATTTAAATATTGTTTTGTTTTAAAAATCAATTTAAGCTAGGCACAGTGGCTCATGCCTGTAATCCTAGCACTTTGGGAGGCTGAGGCAGGAGGATACCTTGAGTTCAGGAGTTTGAGACCAACATCAGCAAAAGAGAGAACCTACAGTCCCAGCCACTTTTTAGGGTGAGGCAGGAGGATCTATTGAGCCCAGGTGTTTGAGGTTGCCATGAGCTAGGCTGATGCCACAGTACCCTAGCCTGAGCAACCAGAGTAGGACTCTGACTCAAAAAAACAAAACAAACAAACAAACAAAAAAACTTGGCAATTGGTTCTATAATTAATAAATACTATTGCTCTAAAAGAGAAAGTCCAATATCATCAATTAGCTTCATAACAGATTTATAAACATTTGAAAATAGCTTTTAACACCAGAATTACCAAACTTTTAAATATTAGGAAATAAGCCAGGCGTGGTGGCTCACGCCTGTTGTCCCAGCATTGTGGGAGGCCGAGGCAGGTAGATCTCCTGAGCTCAGCCGAGTTCGAGACCAGCTGAAGACCAGCATGAGGCAGAGTGAGCCAGAGTGAGACCCCGTCTCTACAACAATAACAACAACAAAAAAAAACCAGCCAGGACTTTGTGATCCCAGCTACATAGGGGGCAAGAGAACACTACAGGAGGAAGAAGTAAAAAAAAAAAAAAAAAAAAAACCCACAAAACTTCAAACTAAGATAAATTGAAAGCAAAAATAAAAAATAAATATTAGGAAATAATTGTGAGTATTCATAACACAGATAAAAATAAATAAGTGATTACTATTAGTATAAAATAACGTTAAAACAGTATTTAGACTTTTTACCATTTAGCATTAAGGGCAGTCTGGACCATTCAGTGCTCTGATTCCAGGCGACATCCCGTGCCCATTCAGAGGACCTGCCATGCTGTCAGGTGTCTTTCAAGTACCCGGCATTCAGCAATGGTCATATGTTCCATGAGGCTCTTTTAAAAATCTGTGAAATGAAAACAAAATTGCGTGAAGGAATATATTCACATGTAGTATACAAACACTCAGAAAGCATGCTGTGAACTAATTCTATATATTTACCATTTCCCCCCCATATTATTGCCCATGGATTTCTCTCCTTAAAAATTTTCTTCTCTCTAGTCCTACTTATTTTTCTAACTCTTCATGGATTGCTGAAGGTTAATGGCTTCCTGAAACCAGGTTAAGCTCTTTGAAAGAAAACTCTAGTAGCATTTCCCATGGTGTGCACCGAGGAACAGTTCAGTGGTCCAACATGTTTGGAAAATCCACCATATCCCATCCCCATCGTGAAGATTTCCAATGTTCATGGTCACTGATACAGCAGTGAAAAGTCCACAATTCAATTAGTTGCTCACCTCATCCTCTTCCAACTATCTTAAGCACCACCTCATTCCAACCCTCTATTTGAAGATAAATATGGGGAAATTCTGTTAAAAAGTCAAAAATTTCAACCACTAAAACATAAAAACACTTTTAAAAAATGCCCTTAAGCATTTTTTGACTGTTATTGGTTCAACAAATTTAATCTCTACTAAAGGGATCCTAAAGTAAGGTCTCTACTAAAAAAAAAAAAAGAGAGAGACTAAAAAAAAAAAAAAAGACTCAGGGGCATAAATCAAATACAATGGTTCTTTTCTTCTGTATAGTTACTATACAATATAATTCTGATCTAAATCCAAACAAAACTACTATACATAAAAATTCATTCTCTCTACCTATTATACCATTTTTTTCAGTAGTGGAAACACTCTTTAAAACATGTGCCTGCTCCCTGACATGCAAGAACAGGGTCCAGAACATGGCTCTTTATGCTGATGTTGGGGTAAAACAATTCCCTGTCACCCGCGGCTAGGACGTGGGGTGTTATCAGGTGTCCTGGAGTCTGGAACACAAGAATGCTCACACGGGTACATATGAAGTCAGGTTCTTTGAAGAGGAGTCCTACAGCCTCCTAAGGAAGGCTCAGAGAAATAATGAGGACATTTCGATCATCCCACCCCTTTTCACAGTCAGTGTGGACCACTGGGGTACCTGGAACAGACCGTGGGTCTCCACTGAGGTGCCAGCCACAGCAATTGGACTTGTGATCTACTTACTACCTAGCGTTCAGTGCAAAGAGTCACCCAGGCCTGACAGTGTGTCCTTAGCCCTCCCGTGCTTCCTTTAATAAACAGTCGCTGGCTGTCAGGAGTAAAAAAAATTAAAAATAAAAATAAAAAAATAAAACATGTGCCTGATCTTGTCTAAAAAATAAATAAGTGTGCACACATACAAGTTCATGCATATCTACGCATCTATCAGGTTCCAGATAATCAAGCAGCTGACGACAGACCAGGCTACATAACCAACTACTGGTCTGCGGCTAGAAGCGGGTTCAGTTGCCTCCCTCCCAGGCAACAGTCCTCAATTCCACCAACTCCTGCAGGACTACCGGTCAGTGGCCCAGAGGCTGCTGCCTGAAGCAAAATACCAACTACTGTGACTGATACTTCCCTGGAAGTATCTCAGAGGATGGTGACCCAAGTGAGGGTACCCGAATGCTACCTGAAGGCATTCTAGGGAAGGAGCAGGAAGTTGATGAGACCTTGCTGTCTAGGGTGGAGCCCTTCTTTCTGGCCATTTGAACGTCCCATAGCCTTGCCTCATTCCAAGGCTTCTCTGCCCTCACCCACAGGCTTTCCTTGTGTAGAGGGCAGACTCTGCCCCTAACTGTGACTATCTGTGGCTTACTGAGATAAGCTGCTTGGCTTCCCTGCGGTCTCATCTTGAACAAACTGCTGACATCCTAACCTTGGCTGACCATCCAGCCTGTGTTCCACTGCTAATTTTTTTTTTTTTTTTTTTTTTTGAGACAGAATCTTGCTCTGTTGCTCAGGTAGACTGCAGTGGCATCATCATATCTCAAAGCAACTTCAAACTCACGGGTTCAAGGAATCCTCATGCCTCAGCCTCCTAAGTAGCTGGGACTACTGGCACACCCCATCACAGCCAGCTATTTTTTTCTATTTTTGGTAGAGACAGGGTCTCACTCTTGCTTAGGCTGATCTCAAACTCTTGGACTCAAGCAATCTATCCACCTTGGCTTCCCAAAGTGTTGGGATCACAGGCATGAGCCACCATGCCTGGCCTGTTTTCTTTCCTTTCAGCTGCTAGAGAAGAGTTCTGTTCCCAGTTCTTTGCAAATGAAAAGAAAAAAACGATAATAAGTAATCATTTTTTAAAAGTCTTAACCCCTAAAGAATATAACGGAAGAAATAGCTTCAAAAATTTAAAAGCAGTCA